GTAAGTGATAATTTCATATTCATAAAAGTATGGTCTCCTCTTGTAATATAATCATGACAAAATATTACTAGATTTCATGCAATTTGTAAGAGTTTTTGCAGATTTGTTTTGTATTGGTTTTCCTCCTCTTTTGTGTAATGGGTTAGATATTGATCTAGATTTCATATATGTTTAATTGATTTAGATTATTTATTTATTTTATTTGAAATATAATAGAGTTCGTGTCTGTGATAAAGTGGTTTTGACCTTATATAAACATACAGCTGTAGTGTTTCCTTAAAGTATTGATTCAACCAAAATAATTTGAAAGAGTTGCAGGTTGATAGTGAACCATCTATTGATGAGACATTGATTGCACCAGTACAATACATATGCTACTGTAGGATTATATTTGTAAAATTGTAACTAAAATAATTTATTCCATAAAAATAAAGATAGTAGGGAAAATCAAGTTACAACTTTCGTTTTCCTAAATTTATTGCAATTATTTCACAAGTATTATTATTATTATTTTATTTAGCCATCATTTGAAAAATGATATCTGGCCATCTCATAGGCGCAAGGTCTATTCGATGCTCTTCCTACCCCATTTACATATCATACTTTACCTATTATGATATTATAGTAAAACTATTTCCTGCTAAAACTATATTTAATGTGTGTATTTAATTGTTGTCCTTCTGCACTTGAATTCGTACCTTACAAAATTGTTAATAGTTACACTTTGTTCCCTTGTTCTTTTTGATTTATCACCAAACTTCTTATTCCTTGGCAACCATTTTCCATTAATTTTGTTTAATACCTTTTCTTTCTCCTACTTTCTTTATTTTTCATTTTCTTTTCATTTCACTTTCCTGTTCTCTTTACTTTTTTTTCATTTGCATTCTTTCCTTTCATTTTGTTGCTTTTCCTTTCTTTTACTTTATTTTCCTTTTCTTTCCTTATCTGTTAATGCTTATATTGCAGTAAAATTTTGTATTGCCATGAAAGTTTTGGATCATATGATTTTTAGGCAACGGTAATCTTGTCGGTAATATTTGCTGAAATGTTATGATGCAATGCAGTGTACATGAATAACGTTTGCTGTTGGTTTGAAACAGTAATAACAAGTGCTTACTTGTTTGCTCAATACAATTTCAATTACTAACAAATATTTGACAATGTCATAATGAACAAAGCTCCTGGAAATAAGCGTATAGAAGCGGTAGCATAATGCGTATATATAAATATAAAATATCACGTGAAAGTTTGCATGGCGGATACAGGAGTACCAAATATTTGAGGTATACCACATGAATAGTATTGAAAAAACTAATGTGTTGAGAATATCTCAGCGTTTCTAAATAATAATAATAATAATAATAATAATAATTATAGATATAGGCACTTAATGAAATAATGTGTTGAGAATATTCCGACATTTCTAAATATTAATAATAATAATAATAATGATTATAAATATAGGCACTTAACGAACTAATGTGTTGAAAATATCTCGACGTTTCTAAATAGTAATAATAAGGCCCCATAAAAAAAATTATTAGTTTATCATCCTATCAAGACCAAAAAACTGATGAGGGAGAGAGGTTTTTTTTTGTTTTTTTTTTGGGGGGGGGGTGTGAAGTGTCCCATCGCTGTTCGCCAGTGTGATTGGTTTAAAAACACAAAAGTCAAGAATAAAGTGAAGTCGGATTAACAAGAACACATGTACTTTTATTAAATATGCATTTTAAATATTAAAAGATGGCAAGAATATATACAATATTGTATATAAATAATGAAGTTCCTGACCACAACTAAAAAGGTGATCTAGGCCTACGACCTAGGTAGGATCTAGGCCTACGACCTAGGTAGGCTCTAGGCCTAGCGCCTAGGGGCCTAGGCCTACGTACGTACCGTCGTGTAATTTTCACCTAGTAGGCCTAGGTCTCTTCCTCCGCCAATATCCCCAGAATTAAATGAATTAAAAATTGACCGTACAATCTTCTGGTATTTTCTTCGCGAACCAATCCTTGACAACTTTTATTCCTTCCCTGATTTGCATGACAATAAGCGGCATGCTGAACACAAAATCCAGCCACCACAGGGTGGATCGAGATCCTAAAAAAAAAAAAAAAAAAAAAAAAAATCGCGATTTCGTCAAAAGAGATGCGCGCGGGGATGATAAACTAATCATTTTTTTTATGGGGCCTAATAATAATAATTATAAATATAGGTACTTATATAGCGCTTTTTGCCAAAGGATACAGGTACATTTCTCAGATTCATTTTCAGGATATTATAATAATAGTAGTAATAATAATAATAATAATATGAATACTTATATAGCACCTAATCCGCCTCAAAGAAAGAGTGCGTTCACGATGCTTAATTCACTATAAGATTTTAACAAGGCTGCTTTAAAAGCCATTTTCTAAGAAAACATGAGTTCATGAAAAACTTCCAGTGTCGCTCTCTCTATGTGGTCATGTATACGTAGATGATGATGATACAAAGATGATCATATTTATTCAAAACCTCAAAAGTTTTGAATTGAATTTTATAAGTGCAAGTAAATATTAAATTGGAAAATAGCTCATTGTCTTCTTTATAATAGTGGATTTACAGTACTTTCAAAATGAAATGAAATACTGTAATTACCTTTTTTTTTAATTATTATTGCTTTTGCTTCATTATTTCAATGTAACCATGATCAAGAGAGTAATGATATTACAATGACTTCAGAGAAATTTTCAATACAATTGCTTTAAATTATTTAGCCTTTGAACTGTACGGTATTTATCTATCAATGAACGAGAGAATATCGCATTGTACTAAATGTCACTTGCTAAATATAGATTTTTTGACGAACATGGAGGTGTTGGATATTGTAATTAATTGTTTCTAATATTTAAAAATCCAACAAAATCTATTTATTTGACCGTGAATGGTTTCGTATAATACGCAGTACGTTATTTCTGCAGACTGTACGTGTTACCACGAAAGGGTGAAGCTCTCGCTTATGCTTTCACTGACGTAAGAGAAACAAATTTACTTTAAAAATTGCTATGTGTGCTTTAGTTCTCTAAGCCACAGCGAGGATTCAAAACAGAAACTCCAACCTAAAGATATAGAGGTGGAACTATAACAGTATTACATATAGTTGATGAAAAAAAATATATATTTATATATATTTATAGTATTAGTTTTTGAATGTACAGTTTTATAGTAATAGTTTTTGAATGTATTGTATCCTTTGAAATATAATCACCGTTCTATATAAAGTTAATTATCCTATAATTTTATTTGTCATTTTATACTCCAATTGTACATTACATTAACTCCATATTATATATCATATTTGTTTATTCAAGGTTTGGAAAGGACAAGCATAAATAAATATGAAATTAAACTAGTTGCATTGTAGTGTTATTACAAAGGAGAATTTGTGACAATATGACATTGATTTTTACATGAGCAGTGTAAACAGTCATGGCTATGAACTGGTGCTGCTCTCTGTTGTTTAATTTCATTGATTGATTCTCTTTTTCTTATTGCCATTATTAATTTTCTTGTTTGTAATATACTGTATACTGAAGATTTAACTTCATAATATAAATTATTATGTAATATGATATGATATACTAAAATATACTATATAATAATATTTAGCATATAATATCTCTAGTAAAAAATAAAGGAATACCATGTTTTTAAAAATCATACATTACAGTAATCCTGAATTAAAAATTATGTAATGTAATGTAGTTAGACTTGTATAACGTTTTATACCAAGTTGTCCCAAAGCACTTAAGGTGTGGCTAGCTGTTACAGTAATTTGCTTCTAATGACTTGATTCTTTTAAGTGCATGCAAGCCAAATTGTGTACACAGGGCCTACTGGACCATAAGTGAGCTATAGGTTGTGGCGCCCTTGCCTAGTTAACCGCTTAGCCATCCAAATCGCAAATATCCGTAATATTTTTAAATGTGCAAGGATTAATTTGATGTCTATGTAACTGAATACAAGAACATAATATTTTGATTAATCATAGGTTCTTGTTGGTTATTGTCATTGTCATTTGGTTTCCCTAGCAATCTGAATTGTCTCTCCTGATGTCCCTGTTGCCATTGGATTGAGTTAAATTTGTTTCTCTGAGCTATATGAATAATATGTTAATTCTCTTCTCTTCTCAAGTAACAGAAGAAACAATATTTACTCAGCTATTCTTTGATTACTATTAGAGCTAATATCGTATTAAGGAGCCTGCAACATTTAATGTTCATACCTCAAAAGGAAAGTAGTTCGCTGATAATTGAGCGTTTCCTTTAGTTGATTGAAGTTTGATTTTAAATACTCAAAGATAGTATCACAAAGAATTATTTGGGATAGTACTTTAAAAAATCATGTCCTTGGATAAAGAATTAATTACTCAATTACAATATACAAAGAAAAAAATAATGAAGGTTAATATTTTTTTGCAAATTTGTAATTTTAAAAAAAGACCTGAAAATTGAGGGGTCATAAGTTCAGAGAATGCAGATCAATGTGAAATAAGTATTAACAAGCTACTGCCAGTATAGATAAATGTGGAAAACTGGAGCATGACCTTGAAGACTACAAAATGTGGTTAAATAAAGAAATTTGTCTGTTTATTTGTCTGTCCATCTATCTATTTCTTTGTTCTTTATTTGCTTCTTTAATAATTAATTTAAATGTGAAATTAGATCATAAGATCTTTTGAACACACAGGCTAGAGCTCTACCAATTAAGAAGATTTAGGCCACAGAGCTAATAGAAAGCTATTTAAGTTGAATGAATTCCTTCCACAGTATATTTTTGATTATTTTTCTTTATAATTATACATTGGGTGAGTCTTTTGATATGCTTTACAATAAACAACAATTATCAGAAAGCTATTTAGTTATGCTAAAATGTATATAACATTTAATTGCATGTTAATGTTATCGCATTATTTGCCATGGTAACTAAACATCATTATCTTATTTTTTTCAGGAAAAAGTAGAATACGCTTTTCTCGCAATTTTTACTGCTGAGGCTGTTCTCAAAATAATTGCGTATGGGTTCCTGATGCATAATGGAGCTTATCTACGTAATGCTTGGAATTTGTTGGATTTTATAATTGTTCTTATTGGGTAAGTACAATTTTTAGACAATTCTTTCAAGAATAGTTGAAGGGCAAATGTTTGCTGGTTTTTATTTTAAATAGTATTTTAGTATTTTGTTTCAATCACAAAGTAATGTATAAAATGTTGGTTTATTGTACATTTATTATATATATTTCCCTGCAGACCTGATAGCATGTGGATTGACTGATCTAAAAACACTTTTTAAATTTTTCTGATACTAATGAAACTTATATTTGTTATCAACTTCAGTAAAGTATAGTTTTAACATCATGGTCAGCATCTTGTTCCTGATATATTAATTAGCACTGACATTATGCATGATTGTATTTTAGTTCATATAGGTTTTATATTGTTTGTATCTAAATTTAAATTTTAAGCTTAAATTGCAAGGATGTAGTTTTGTTTTTGTATTATAGTGGAATACACAATTAGCATTGATGCTAATGAGAGAATACTGTATGCAGTAGCGAGTGGTTTTGTATCTAATAATCCATATGCTAGCTAATTCATTAAAACCTCATATTACTGATTGAATGGAAGTCTGGTTGCATTATGTTCCACAATGAACTGGGAATTAACAGGAACCACAAATGACTGATGGGTAATCTAGTTGCCATGGTTTTACTCTACATTAATCAGGTGTTCCAACATGGATGATGCACAGTGGCCTTTTGCTTTAAGATTACTTGCATTCAATTATAGGTTTTTTACATAGACAATGAACGTGACCCTTCTGTACTAAAATTAGCTGGGCAGTATGGCTTGATGGCCGTTTGTGTCAATGAAGCAGCTTCTAATCATATGTACATGAACCATGTTTGTTGAGCATAAACTAATGAGAGGACTGGTCTATAATATAATGTATTGCAAAGTTTACTTATTTATTAAAATGAAAATTAAAATCCTTTTAAGATATAAATGATTATATTGGACATGAATCACCTGCCATTTTCACGGTATAAGGGTACACAGTTGCTGAGCACATAAAGTTCTTACATTTGCTCTCAAAATAATTGCATACACTATCTTGAATAACTGCAAATTATGTATAATTCATCCTTATTAAATTTAGTTTAAAAATAAGGTTTGAAAATATAAACCTTGATTTTAAAAGGTCCCAGGTTCAAAGGGCTATGTTCACTTGTAATTATTAGTCATATTTTCTAAAGTTTCTTCATAAATAGTCATAACCATCAGCTGTTTTCCAATATTTCACAAACTAATACCATGCTGATTCTTGGTTCGATATTTTAATTTTCCTACAAGATCTCCGATAGTAAAAATGATTAGACTAGTGGTCATCAATAATTAAAATTTATGAAACAAAACTTTTGTTCTCAGCGCAAGGGAATATTCAAATAATTGAATTATAGATGCAATTATGGTGATAATACCAGTTTATTATGGATTATTAATTATCCCGAAGTACTTTGTACTATACCGTTATGATAATTATATTATAATGTTTATATTACTTTTTATGAATTTAAATATCAATAACTATAGATGTCAAGATGATCATTAAAATGCATCTTTATAGTAAAAAGTATCTCTATGGAAACCTTATAATTTGATCAGATTGAACAATTATTATGTTGGTGCTGCAGCGTAGGAGGCAAGTACAAAGAGTACCAACTCAGAAATTAATGACACTTCTGTTGATATTGACACAGAGAAGATTTGAATCTGTATTGTTATGCTAATATTGATGCTATTTTGAATGGACACAACAATAGAGATGTAGAATTCAACCAGGGCTAATTTAACTAGCTTAGTAATAAAGCTTTTATATAATATTAATGTTGATAGACCTATGATTGTACATACCAATTATATGCTTTGTGAATAGTGTCCCCTGTTGTTGTCAGGCACCTAAAAATGTTACTCAGCTTGATGAGCTACTAATCAATTCCCGATACAAAGTGTTGCATGAATGAAGAAGAAATTACTAGATCCGTACTATCATGTTTTGATGGGTTGTCAGTATATTTTTACCCTCATCAAGGATGTTATGTATTTTTCCTGTCTGCTGTGCTATCTATCTGAGGCCTAAAGTTACACCAAAAAAAAAAATACTACTGAATGGATCATCAAATTCAGAAAGTGGTACATATTGGTCAAAGGAAGAGGTGGTTATTAGTATTGTAGGAAAGGTGAAGATCAGAGTTTTAGGAGAAATCACTAATAAGGACCATGGAGAAATCTTAATTATTAATAAGGACCATGGAAATAATGAATACTGTAGATGATAACATTTAATGGAATGGTGCAAATTGTTCTAAGTGGTGATGAAAGTTTGGAAGAATAAGCCAATGGTCAAGAGAGAATAGACAGATTTAAAATATAAAACAATTAGAAGCATATATACAGTACAAGCAATAGAACGTTGAAAGACATAGTATTTACCATGGTTACAACATCGAATGTCAATATCAAACTGTTTCTATAGAGTTACACATATCAACAAGCATTAACACAAACTTCACAATATAGCTTTTGGCTCGTACTCAAGCCCTGTTTTCCATGATTTATCTTGGAATGAGCGCACAGACTCAGTTGAAACAGAATTACGAATTACTTTCCTAAGATATGCCTTAAATCAAAATCGATTTTCAACTTGAAAAAAAGACATTTGAGAAGTGGAATTGTCTTCTCTCCAATCCCTTTGAAATTGACTATCTCTGAAATGACTGTTTATAAATAATAATTAGAAATGTCCAATATGTCGAAGGTGACTGTATAGTCATCTAACACTTGTCTTTATACAGCAGTCTAGTAGTCTCTGCCTTCCATCCTCTACTTATAAATACTTCATCAATCTTTCAAGTTGTTCTTCCATGTGTAATTCATTAAATTTATGTGTTATAATATGACTTTACTAAATATTACTTATAATTGTTATTTTATACCATAAATATTCTGAATACATTCTGAAAACATTTTCCATGATTGAATTTACTAAATAAAAAGCGGCGCTCTCAAATAGGCATCGCATCAACATGATTTTCATTCCACTTAAAGTGCCATCTTATTGTAGCAGAGCAATTATAGCAACAGTAGTTTATTTTTGTTATTATCTTACTATGGTACATGCAGCTTTTTCATGACAAGAATGAAAAATTAAACAAAAGATATGATGCATGCACATAGCGAAAAGGCCTGAACATTATTATATATTTCACGCAATTACCTTGGTTATAAGATCAAACACTTTCACAACACATACACAGCTCTCTGGGGGAGTATGCTTTAATGTTGCTGAGCTAGTAATCAGCGCAGTAATGATATTCAAACCTACAGGTACTGTACCCGTTTATATTCCAGGGTAGAGAGTGAAAACGTGGCCTTGCGGAGGAGAGTAACTAGTGGCCTACTTCACACTACACCTTCAGTCTTTCAATAAGCAAATTTGTAGTTTGAAGTGCACATACCCATATCCAAGGTCAAGGTTGTTGTGTGTATATTTATGTCAATTGAAATTTGCAGTGGGCATAAGCAGTTTAAACTATGAATTGACTTATTAGAATCCTGTGACTTATACTTCGGCAACACTGCCACATTTGTCCATGTTGCATGTAATCGGTAAATGATCAGCTTATCATGTTGAAAGAAAATTGGTTAACACAGTTGCTCTAGCACATTTTGAATAACTTTTTATTTCTATCATACTAAACCAACAGTACCATCTATTTTAGAAAATGGACTAGTTTCAAATGAAAGAAAACCTTTCCTTTTATAATTGCTGAATATGGGACATGTTAAAACTAATTTTCGACTCCACGTATCAACTTTTCTTGATAGGTATTGGTGTAGGATGCAATTTGAATGCTTTTTCTCTTAATTTAGGTCATCAATTCAATCCAAACTTCTCTTTTACCATCCTTATGATTTTCTTGTGTATATACATATTCTGTCTACTCCCCGACAAACACCCATGAATTTCTCTCCGCCCCCCCCCCCCCGATATTAAAAGGCAAGCATGTAACCACCAAGCAATTAACTTAAATTTATTTATAACAGAACAACCGTAATAAATTACGTCAATAATTTAATTTAAATTTGATTGTTATTGGTTGTTTTATCTCTTACATTAAACGTTTCATTGCTTTAATTCTCTGTGTTGTCAGAAAAGTGAATTATTTAGTATTCATAAAAAATTTTTCCAAAAATAGTTTTTGTCTCATTTTTTAATAAAATATTTTGAGGTTGTTGGTTAATTATTAATTTGTTGCTTTGATTAATTTTAAAGACCTTTAGACGATTAGGCCTATAAAAAAAAAAATTGTTGTGTTGCCCTTAAATGGAAAAAATGGAGATCGCCGGTCGGTCGGATTATTATTTTTTTTTTTTTTTATAGTAACAGGCCTACGTGAATTAGGATAGGCCTGAAACTGCTGTCCCTATGAAAACCCTAGGCCCTGTCTCTTATACACATCTAGATGTGTATAAGAGACAGGTATAGTCATCACGGGGAGAAAAAGCACAATTCATCGGAGAGAAAAACAAATTTTTTTTTTTCTAATATATATTTTCTACATATTAGTAGACTCTAAAATCGATTAAACAAGCCTCATTGTGGCTTGACAGCTCAGCAGAGAGATCGCTGAGGGCAACACAACATATTTTTTTTTGGCCTTATAATAGTTGAGATAAATGAGTATATACTTATCAACATCACAAACAAATTAATTAATTAATATATAATATTGAATTATTGAATTAAAAAGATCAAATATGTTTCATACACATATGGCAGAATAATTGAATTTCACTAATTTACATGTTTTTCAGTATAATAATTTTTAAAGTTGATTACAAGCCACTTTGCAAAAAACTAAAAACAGTATAAACTTGTTCATTGTACAGTTTTAATTCTAATTAAAAACTTACATTATAATTTATTATAATATATACAGGGCCGTCGGAAGCGCACCGGCCGCACCAGCTATAGCCGGACCACTTTTTCTCAATTCCATTACTTTCTGAAATAAATATATAATGATAAT